GCGTGCAAAAATAATTCTGGGCACTCTTCATGCATTGAAGAGAATGGAGGAAATATTGTGGTGTCAACGCTGGGACTAGAAATCCCGTTCCGTCAATCATGAAATTGACAAATTAGCTGCAACGAACCAAGTAGTTTCATCAGTGCGTCTAGATAGTGTGATAAAATTCTATATGTTTGGCCGTATTAGGTGAACGTTATAAACTATTTTTCTCACACTTAACAATTTGAATACCATATTTCTTATGGTTTTTTACTATTTTATTTAAATGTGGTAAAATAACAATTAAATAAATTGTTATTTAACCATTCTTTCCGAGAAATTCCTTAGGGTGTACTAGAATCGATTGGAGTTTACAAAATCAAACGATCTTTCATTTGTAGGCATTGGTGGTGTCTCAGACATAGACAATTTGACTTTTACTACTTTGGGTTACCTAAATGGACCAGGCTACAAGAAAAATGCCCGGGACCGCAACTTAACCAATGATGAAGCTAGTAAGTTATAACTTTTGCTGAGAAGATCTTCTTTCTTTACTTTTTTCACATTATTTTGTTGTATTTAAAAATGTCTATGTTACTGCTAAATACTGAAATCTGCAAGCGGCGACGTTCTTCAGTATTTTTGCTGTTGTATTGGTGAGTGTCAGAAAAATTTTGAAAACTATTAATATTTTGCACCAACATTGGCAATGACAATACTCTGAATGCACTGTTAGTGGACTGCAATTAAAAATTTTTTTTCCAAATATCATTATATCTCGATTATATAGGAAAATGTCGATATTTTCCGGTTGAAGTGAGAACTAAGGACATTTATAAATATTACAGACATACGCCAAGCATGCGTGTACCAACATTCACCAGATTTCAGATATTTAACGAAGTGACTAAATATATGTTCGCTGACAGTCAACAGATTTTGGACATTCGCATTATCCTCTAGTAAAAGTAATGATATTATGTATGAGAGATGTCAATATATTATTATTATTAATAATCTTGCTGATGGTAATGTTTTTAAATCTCTTTTTCAACGAAAGTTTAATAATTACTTTTTACTTCCACATAGCTTTAGGATTTTCGCGCATTTCAGAGTGATTTAAATATAACAGGAAGTATTCCTTTGGCCCCGTACTATTAAACAAACTATTCTAAATATTAAAAAACAAAAATTATGTAAGGCTAAGAAAAAAATTAAATGAAAAACTTTTTTAATTATTGTCAATTACTATCTGAGAACTTTGCATTCGTACAATTATAATTTATATATAATTATGTTAAAATCATTGA